ACTCAAAAGTGTTTTATTTTCATACATTTTCTGGAGTTTTATGAGCAAAAGGATGTTAGTTGGAAATTTTGGGGCGAATTATAGAAATCCTGTCCAATTTTTACTTTCAATTTAAACAGCGAGCCGTACGAAGACAAAATTTAAATGAAATAAATTTCTTAATTCTTTTCTTCTGTAAACTTAAAAAGGGGGAAAACACATGTCGTACAAAACGTAATAAATTTTTATGGATCCTTAGTTAAAATTTTACAGTGAAATTTTAAAAGCAAAATTTGCAATAACTAACTGAAACAGAAAAAAATATTTTAAGACAATTAAAGGCACCCCTAAATAAGTTGAAAACATTGAAATACATTATAATTATCCGACAACAACTTTAAAAACAAATTACCATGAAAACGTTTAGACAATTATTTGGAATGACCATTGTGAAAACCAAGAGCAAAGTTTTCACCCAATAGCCAAAACCATTTCACTTACAGCATTACATTAAAAAAGTCTTTAAAAGAATTTCACATAGCTAAAACCTCTGACTACAACAACAAAGAACGTTTTCGAACAACGTGGTAAAAGATTGCTAACATGGCCGACGGCATGCTGCATTCTTTGATGCTGCTTTGTTGCCTCCTGATGTTATTTCGCACATGCGCAGTGAGGTACGGAGGGTGGATAGCTTTGGAATGGTTTGTCCCTTTAGAGTAAGCTTCAGGGATATACATAATGTGTCTCTTCGGTCTGACGGAGCCACATTTGCCCCGGGGAACCTTTACTTCTTCTCCTTAGAGATTCTTTGGCTGGGATTCCAAGGCGACGGGTTTTGAGGGGTTGCAGCTGTATCCGTTTTCCAGTTGGAATCGTCAAGGCCATTAGCGGGGGGACGAAATTAACGTAGTGGAGAATTTTTATTCATTGTGCTAATTAATATTCTAATTTCCCAATCTCTCTAGAACAAAGAGCATCCTTCATTTGACTATCTATGAGTTGTAAATTTCTAAATTTAGAGCCGATCGCATTATTTGTTCCCAAGATATTAATTTTTCTTAATTAGAGAAATTGAGCCCAAAAGTTCCCAAAAAATCGGTAAATCTGGAACTTACGGGCCGATTTCCTTGAAATTTTGAATTTTAAACCCGCGAGGGGATAAAACGACTGATGGCCTTGATTCCACACTGATTTGTGAATTAGGAGCCTAATTAACGGGGTAATTAAAAACGCCCTAATACTCCTTTTTCTTTCCTTTCCAGATCTTTGTGGACAGGGTGGGAATGAAGGCGACGGGTTTTGAGGGGAAGAGTTGGTTTCCGTTGGGTCGTGGGAATCGTCAAGGCCATTCGCCAGGGATGAAATTAACGTAGTGGAGCATTTTTATTCATTATGCTAATTACTCTTCTAATTTGCCAATCTCTCTAGAATAAACACCAAACCTCTTTTCAAAATTTGGCAATTATAAGATTGTAAATTGCAAGCCGATCGGACTGTCGGTTGCTGAGATACGTGTTTTTTGTGCATATTTCTTAATTAGAGAAATTCAGCCGGAAAAATGTACAAAAACACGTAACTCTTCAAAGAATTAATCGATTTCGTTCAAATTTTGAATTTTGCACTTCTCGGATGCTCAAATAAAGTTTAGTGTTCGTTGTAAACTGTTTTGTTAATTAGAAGCCTAATTAGAAGATTCATTAAAAAAGCGCTACTACCTTATCTCCCCTTCCTAACTCTTGGTTGACGCCCTTCGATTCGAAAGCGAGGGGTGTCGGAGAAGGGGAGGTGGTTTCCGCACGACTTTTGGAATCGTCAAGGCCATTCGCCAGGGATAAAATTAAAGTAGTGGAGGATTTTTATTCATTATGGCTAATTAATCTTCTAATTTGCCAATCTGTCTGGAACAAAGACCAAACCTCTTTTCAAAATTTGGCAATTATAAGATTGTAAATTGCGAGCCGATCGGACTGTCGGTTGCTGAGATACGTGTTTTTTGTGCATATTTCTTAATTAGAGAAATTCAGCCGGAAAAATGTACAAAAACACGTAACTCTTCAAAGAACTAATCGATTTCGTTCAAATTTTGAATTTTGCACTTCTCGGATGCTCAAATAAAGTTTAGTGTTCGTTGTAAACTGTTTTGTTAATTAGGAGCCTAATTAGAAGATTCATTAAAAAAGCGCTACTACCTTATCTCCCCTTCCTAACTCTTGGTTGACGGCCTTCGATTCGAAAGCGAGGGGTGTCGGAGAAGGGGAGGTGGTTTCCGCACGACTTTTGGAATCGTCAAGGCCATTCGCCAGGGATGAAATTAAAGTAGTGGAGGATTTTTATTCATTATGGCTAATTAATCTTCTAATTTGCCAATCTGTCTGGAACAAAGACCAAACCTCTTTTCAAAATTTGGCAATTATAAGATTGTAAATTTGCGAGCCGATCGACTGTTCGGTTGCCGAGATACTTATTTTTTGTGCATTTTTCGAACAATTCGTGATTTTTGGATCTGAATAAGAAAAGCAACTTTGAGTATACAAATTAATATGTCTAATAGCTTAAATCAGCGTGCTCATTTCTGTTACTGAGCTACGTAATCAGTCACTGCTTTTGTTATTATATATAAGTGCATTAATATAATGTCTCTGTTCGCATAAAGCTAATATTAAATTAAATTTTAATTAAGAAATTTTAATTGCAAAGAGTAAAAAAATAAAAATATTAAACTATTTATTTAATTCTGATTAAATTTTTTTTTTCGTTCAGAGGTTTTAAATTGAATTTCTGTTGCTCGGATATGGTATATGGAAAGTTTTCTTATTATAAATAATTATGATTGATTAATTACATTAATATACATATTGATGCACCTTTGTGTGTGATTATGTTAAAGTTTATCAAAAGGAATTTTAATAACGAATTTACTGTTTGAATATAATACCCGAAAATTTTTGCGATTACACTTGGCAAAAAGCCTGAGCTGTAAAATCGCTGAACACTGGTAGTTCAGTCCAATTTTCGAATTTCAGCGAACGGGCTGGCTCCATAGGTGCTTTCGTAATCTTCCGTGTGTGTAACGTGTATGCAGTATATTGTGGATGCATACGTAAATAAAGCGGGCGCAGCCCGCGCAAACTGCTAAACACTGGTAGTTCGGTCCAGCTTTCGAATAAAGGCGATCGGGCTGGCTGCATGGGTGTTTTTGTGATTTATCATGTATGCAGTATTTTCTGGACGTATACGCGAATAATGGGTGTTTTCGTGATTTTACACATGTGTATCCTGTATGCAGAATCTTCTGGAAGCCTACGTGAATAAAGCGGGCGCAGCCCGAGCAAAAGCGCTGAACTCTGGTAGTTCGGTCTAACTTTCGAATACCCGCGAAAGGGCTGGCTGCATGGGTGTTTTGGATTTTAGGCATGTGTATTGTGTATGCAGTATCTAATAGACGGATACGTAAATAAAGCGGGCGCAGCCCTCTCAAATCCGCTGAACACTGGTAGTTCGGTCCATGTTTCGAATCCGAGAGAGCGGGCTGGCTGCATGGGTGTTTTCGTGATTTTCGGCATGTGTATCGTGTATGCAGTGTCTTCTGGATGCATATGTGAATAAAGCGGGCGCAGCCAGCACAAAACCGATGAACACTGGTAGGTCGGTCCAACTTTCGATCCCGGCGAACGGGCTGGCTCCATGGGTGTTTTCTTGCTTTTACGCATGTGTATCGTTTATGCAGTATCTTCTCCATACATAGGTGAACAAAGCGGACGCAGACTGCTCAAAATTGCTGAACACTGGTAGTTCAGTTCAACTTTCGAATAACGGCGAAATTACAATGGAAACTCATGAACATTGAACAATGAAAAGCGGGCTTCAGCCCGCTCAGCTGGCGGGCTTGCCCGCTAGTCTTTATTAAATATCATGTTCCTCGCACTTAAACCATAAGATCCAGTGCAACAGCAATATCGCAAAATAGTTTTAAAACGAGCATATCTTTAGAATTTCCGATACAGAGACTCACGCGCTGGAGATAAAAATGTTTTTTCTGCACAACGTTGCCATTGCTCGCTTTGAAATCCTTGAGTTTGTTAATCAAAAATTCGTCAAAGTTTTAAAAAATAGGAAATCGATCATAAAACAAATTTCAAATTTCAAATTTGGTCTTCCACATGCTCATATTCGTTGGAGGATTACGTTATTCAAAATTCGATGACTCTATGTACCGTTGTTTTATCACAATACGAGAAATATACATACATTTATGCAGATTTTTCATTATTTAATTTCTTCAAATATAATGCAGGACTCTAACATTTTGTGGCAACAGTTTGAAAAGTGAACCGACATTTATGAGTCCGAGGCAAAATGCCAAAACGAAACTAATAGTCCTTCGGGATTCAAATCCCTTTGGACTAAAAAAAAAAGAAAAGAAACGAAGCTGAAGATGACAAAACTGAAAGTGATGGGAAAAGACTGACATTTTTATAGCAGATGAAATTTTTCGTGGCTTTGAAACAGCAGTTACCCTGGCCAAAACACTATGAAAGTCTGACACCCAACTAAATAGATCTCACCTGATTAAGTACGGCTTTACCAATGATAAATTATATATTTTGAAAAATATAAAACCTTGCGAATTTATTTTTGGCTCTTTTAATTAAAAAATATAATTTAATGTTGAAATAAAATACTTAATATAATACAAAAAAAAAATTTAACTAATTAAAACAAAAAAATTTCTTCGAATAACCATTTTTATAAATTATGAAAATGGATTATACACACCTGTTCTGATCTCTCAAGTTAGATACTCGAGGTTTCACTGCAGCATTATCTTTTTATATTATTTTAAAACTAGTTAATTATCTAATTAGTAATTCAGTTTTATTTTAAAGGGACTTTACACTCAGTACTATCAAATTATTTAATCTTTCAAATGTTCTATGCATTTGTCCATCCCCCGGCGAATGCATGATCGGTAAGTGCTCGTTCATCGGGGGAAGGGGGAATTGTTATGTATATTCTATCTTATATATCTCTTTATGCCCATAGGAGTGGATATTGCTGTAGCCGCTAGTTTATTGTACAGTAATAATCGGACAGCCAGTGTGGCCTCTACTATAACAGCTGAGATGGCAAATGACATGACCATAACAGGAACAAAAGGATGTGTAAAAGTAATGAATTTCATTTCATCTGTTTTTATTTTTCCAGCACTTTTTCAAACTTGGAAGTTTTATTCATATGATCTTCGGTAACTGTTTTAAGGGTTTTATTTAGAATGAAATATTTGAATTTTCATAAATATCTTAAGAATTTTGTTTGTTAATAATTTATTAGTAACTTTTATTCAGCAATAATTTTACTTCCTTCTATCACTTAAAAAAATAGGAGTAAGCAGTTGTATAAATAACTAATAAAAATACGGTTAGTTTAAAGGATATTTGAATTTAACTATGCCACGAAAGCTACCTACTTGAGAGGATGGATGCCGTCAGGAAAGATTTTCTGAAGGAAACTGTTTCGTATTCCCGTTACATATAGTGAAAACCAGCCATGCAGCCAGCTCGCTCCCCTGGATTCAAACCGAAACCAGGTCGAACGACCAGCATTTAACGGCCATAATCACTCGGCCATGCTGGTGGGGCACTAAAAAATGTGATAGAAATAAACTTGAGTGATACGTATAAAAGGGTGTACTCCAACTGCGCGAATAAAAATCCCCCCGGTCCTGCTATAGTCCAACTGCGTGAATCAAAATTTCTTCCCTCTGTTGCCTACAGGGTTACAATTTAACTTTTCGAAGCCAATTGTAGCCAACAGGAAAATAAAAAATAAAGAAATATAATTACATATTACAAGAACAAGTAAAAAAAATATCTAACTAATTACTTGAATAACAGTAATAAATGCGATCGCATTTATTACTGTTATTCAAGTAATTAGCTCTCGCATTAGTTCTCGAGAGCTAACAAAGAAAATAAAAGGTATTGGTAAACATACATATTAGCATTACAAACATCTTTCATTTATTATAATAATATCATAAATTAAATAATTATAAAGCATACCAATTATATTTTTTATAAATTACATCAATAATAGTCAAGATGTCTGATCTAGACTGGAAAATTTATTAGAGTTTACTGGCGTTCAAAAGATTATTCCATATCAAAGTGTGTTAAAGTGTGCTAAAAATATTTTTTGTTAATTAAAGTAACCATGTAAATGTTTGCAGAAATTAATAGTTAAATTTAATAAAATCTTAGCATGAAATCTATTATAACAACATTACTATGCGTTTGAAACACTGACGTATAAATTGTAAATACATTTAAATTATTATACTAATAAGTTTTTTCTAAAATTTATTTAGAAGAAACGAATTAGATAAACAGTACAGCAAATTAATATAATCAATCAGGCCTCTCAATAAATAAAAGTTTATTTTTTTAACCAAAAATTAAAAACTGGGATGCAAAAGTTTGTGTAATATACTTGGAAATATCTGAACATATAATTAATTAGAAATGTATAATTAAATTAATAACAATCTAATTAACATTAAGCTTAATTTCAACATTAAGCTTAATTCAACATTAAGCTTAATTTAATTAAGCTAATTAATATTAAGCTTAATTTCATTCAATCTAAAACAAGCAATCGATCAGGAGCTCCGCATAACTGAAGTTTTATTGCTATTTTAAGTAGATTTGCGTATAAAATAAGTATTTGCACTTGTGAAACAAATGAATAATGTACTGATAGTCAACATGTATTAAAATACGGTGGTTAAAAATATAACTGCTTGTCAGAAGGTATGCAAAGTTGCCATGGCTAGAGAAATTGAATGATTATAGAAAACTCATAAAGTTAAGCGCTACAGTGTGAAAAGAAAATTCTGGAATAAACATGAAAGAAAAATAGATGGAGAAATAGTCCTTAATTTATTGATATCCATATAAACTCTATGCTTTTGGAAAAAGTTACATATAATTTGCACCGAGGAATCAATCACCGAAAACGAGTTAATTTCTTTCCTTATTTTTTCTTATTAGAGGGATTTGTAAAAAGGTATGCCAAGGTGAAAATTTTGCAATATTTTTAAAGAATAAATTAAAAAGTATTTTTACTTCATGAACTGAAATTTTTACGATAAATTTTTACACAGTAAATAAGTAAAAAAAAAAAAAAAAAAAGAGCTGGGAGATATCTGGGATTAGAAACTCGAGTCGAACTACTAATGTTTAGTGACTTTTCCGCTTGATCATAAGACCTTTTGAAATTAGGCTGAACAATGTATTAAAGAAAATAGAAGATACAGCACAGATAAGAACAAAAGTGGGCTGAATTAGAGATTTACATATTTGGTGAATGAGTTAAACTTATCTGTATGCCATTATGAAATATTAGGAATGTAGCATAAAAGCATCAGTGACGAAGGCAAAGGCAATCTAAACCATTGTAATCTAAAAGTTTAACATTATCAGTATCTGCTATTAATTTCAATACTGCTGAAAAAAATATAAATGAATTATATTATAAATCACATGAACTCATTGCATTATAAATTACAACAGTTAGAAATATTATTAGCGTGATTTAGCGACCATTTTTGTTAACGAATAATTTCAAATAATTAATTTTACAAAAAAGTCAGCCTGAAACTAGGTTAGAAAATAAGCTGCATGCTGAAGTTTCAGCTTTACCAAGGTGTTAAAAACATCGTAAGTAGAGTTATGATGCAAGAATTTGTAAAAATTATCATTTAAACATAAATTGGTATAAATACGATACAAAATATATAAATTCTACATACATTAAAACTTGAATACAGGGCAACAATATGTTAAAAAGGAATGGATTAAAAAGGAACTGAAAATCCCAAGATATTAATATAAGGGAGTTCGAATTTTTTCTGTTAATTATGAAAATTCTGCAGATGCTCATAATTATCAATTTATTAATTAAATGTGTATTAGAAATTAAATATATGCCAAAGTACATCAGGCAGAGTAATTGGAGAACAGAATATTTAAACGTTTCTAGTATTAAAATATGGAATTTGTAAGAAAGTTAAATAAACTTAAAATAACTTCAATGACTAAAAATGGAAAGCTTAATACGTCATGTATTGCAATAATATTAGTGTGAATTTAGAACCACTTAAGAAATCTAATCTTTAGATTTAATAAAGAGAATTTTTTAAAATTAAATTAGAACTGTTTACCTAAAATGGTAAATTTGAAAGTTAAAACCTTTCTGCTGTCTAAGAAGATTTTTTAATATTTATTTAGACAAGGAAAAAAACTTATTTAAGTTGCGGTACAAATTCGATATTTGATAGATTGATTATGTATCCGTTTTATGTATGTCATTAATCTATCAATTTTATTATTCAAAACTGATATATATATATATATATATATATATATATATATATATATATATATATATATATATATATATATCAGCAGCTAAAATCTACAACTTGGAAAGTTTATAATTCTTACAGAGAATAAAAAAGATCTGGCTCATTATTCTTTTAAGCATCATAAAACTTTAAATAAGTGTAAAAGAAATTCATTTTTACTTCAGCACACGCCAGATTTTAAATTAGTATTTGTTTTGTTTGCACAATTTTTGCAATATTGATAAACGAAAATAGAGGCTTGCAGTCTCAATAAAATGTCCCATTAATGGCGATAAATGATTTTTTGTAGCACCCATCTTCTTGAGAATTTAAGTTCTTAGAAAGAGGGGACAGGAAAACGTCGCGCAGGTTCATAGATTTAATAAGAGGGGGAGAAGGATCTTGGATCAAATTTCGCGCAGTTCGCACCCTACCGTATAAGAAACATTAGTGATAGAAACGGCGTTTTTTTTTTTTTTTTTTTTTTCCCTGTGGCAAAAAATATTTGCAAAAATTCTGCGAGTAAAGTGTATGAAATCTGCAACATAAATTTGATCCCTTAAATCAGTATTTAGCAATGTTTTGCGTTTGTTTTAGCAATAATCACAGTTATATGGTAGGAGTCTCAAAGCATGATCCCATTTACAATCAACAAATTAAATCTTTGAATTAGTATTTCTGGTTAAAATTATTCCCTACTACTAATTCAAGTTACATAACATTGTAAAATGAGCATTTAATTTTTGACTGACAAACTGTCAAAGTATTAAAATATGGAATTTGTAAGACGTTTCGTCAAGTAACTGGTAATTTATTATTAACACCCGAAAAAAAATGAAATTTTATCTTCATATTCAGAGTTCAGTTTTATACTTTATTTTTATTTACGTTTAAAAAAAAATGCAAACTTCTTTAATTAAATACATACATGAATATCTCATTTAGAAAACGTGTAGGATGTATATGTTATCCACTGGGATGACCAGGGGTGGCCAACTTGCGGCTCGCGAGCCACATGCAGCTCTTTGAAGGATTATTTGTGGCTCTCGATAAATGTATCCGAGTTTCCTTTTCATTTTTGTGTTATTATATTTTAAAAACTTATCGTTCCGTATGTGTTTCAGAATGTCTTTTACATTACTGACAACACATATGAAAGACTAAGTGCAACGTTGTATTAAATTTATTTCCATCCAAGTTAATTCTTTCGCATCGAGAGAGGGTAAAATCTCTTTTCCCCAAACACCGAAAACGCCTGTGTCTACAAATTTCTCCCGGAATGCTTTTCCTCCCCCCTATGACAAACATGGAGGTAGGAAGTAAGATGACAAATTGAATACTACAGGGATAACAATAACCTGCTTAGTAAAGCGAGAACTTCTTTCTCTTGGATGCTTTCACCCTGTGTGAAGTTCCCCTTTGGGACGGGATTGCAGCTTCGGGCTAAAATCTAAACATTGACAGTAAACAATTGAAAGAGAAGGTGCATTAAAATAACAGAACTACTTTTAGTGGCTTCAAAAGAATGATTGACATATCATTTAACAACACCTAAAAGCAATGAGCAGTGCAGTAACGTGATAGGGGAAAGTACTAGGGGGTCGTCTAGCCGATTTCTAATGCTATAATTTGCTTGGTAGTATGTAACACGTGTCGTTATTGTTTTAATAACACAAAACTTGTATTTTCTAAATTTCTTTATTTATTTCCAGTTCTTTTAAAAATATGACGACAAAGAACGAAAAATAAAAAAAGAAAATACGA